GGCTTGCGAACCGGATGCTCCCAAAGACCTTGTTTCACTGGTGACTTGGTCAAGTGATAGCTGCCTGCACTTACTCACGTTCAGTGGTAACTCCCAAACATCCGCCTAGTGTTGAAGTAAATTCAGGTCCCTCTGGACTTCGTCTGTTTCAGGTGATCCTACTACCTTTAGATCATCGGCAAACAAGTAACTGGAGCAATGAAGTCTCTGCATCAGGTCGTTGATATAGATTAGGAACAGTAGTGGCTCCAGGACTGAGCCCTGAGGAACACCACTGGTAACAGGTGCCAGTCCGGATTTTCCATCTCCGACCTTCACATAGAACTGCCTATTTGCTAGCTATGCCCTTGTTCAGCGGAGTACTCCGGGGGCGATTTTGAGGGATTCCATCTTGAGGTTAAGAAATTGATGATTCACCGAGTCAAAAGCTATCTGAAAGTCCAGATAGCAAACTTCGACCCGCTCCCCACAATCCATTCTTTCTGTTACTTCATCCAAAAACGACAGCAGGTTTGTTAGACATCATCTCCGTTTACGAAAACCATGCTTCCCTGCCGAGATCATCCCGTTTAGTTCCAAGTGGGCCTCTATGTGCTTCCTAACGATNGCAGACTCACTGGCCGGTAGTTGTTGACGTTTTACCTACTCCCCCTTTGTGTTTAGGAACAACCTCGGCTACCTTCCAGTCTGTGGGTAATTCCCCTGCGCACAGTGACTGGTTGAACAGTTTGGCTATGTGTTTGGCCAGCACATCAGCCAGGGGCTTTAGGATGGCTGGATGGACTGCATCCGGTCCAGCCGCCTTGGACGACTTTAGCTCCTGAAGCTCCTGTTTCACCTCTGAGGGGGTTGTGGCGAATTCCGACATTTCGCCCGTCAGTGAGGGAGATAGAGTCTCAGGCTCTCTCCCGGAATCCGCCCGGTGAACCCTCGTGGCATCGGTGATACACCCTACTGCCTCTCTCACGGCTGCCTTGGATGGCACATAATTGTCAAAGACCTTTGGGCATGCCCGAGCCTTTTCTGCAAGGCGGAGTTCATATTGCAGGCGACATTAACGTTGAACCCGCAGGGCTTTTTTACTTGTCCTTTTGAAGACGAACGAGCGGCTGTGGCCGTTAGTTTCCCTGAAGGCCCTGTATGCTCTCCTTCTCATACATTGCGCTCTGTGCGCCCTCCCCGTCCACCAGGGTGGTTTCCCCTGTCGGCGTAATCTTCTCAGAGGAGCGAACAGGTCTGTCAATGTAAGTAAGCTATCCTTGATGATCCCCCAGTCGTCCTCTACCGATATTCCCTACCCCTCCCAAAAGATAGCTGAGGCTGCCTGGACGAGACCCCTACAATTTAATTTCCCAAAAGTTCGCTTCAGCTTGTGAGGTGGTAGTGGTAGGTGATTGCGGTATGCGAACCGAATCATCCCATGGTCACTCCTGGTTAGAGGCATTGTAACCTCAAGCCCATCCACATCATCATGGCTTTTGGTGAACACTAAGTCAAGGAGTCCAGGTATGTGGCCCTGCTGCCATCTTGTCCGCTGCCGCACATGCTGGTGGAGGGTCTTAACCATTATGTACTCCGTCAAACTTGCACCAAATGTACAATTCGGTGTCCAGTTGTCTTCCCAACGAATTTCCGGAGCATTGAGGTCCCCATTATGATTAGTCCCTCGTTGAATCATTTGGCATGATTTAAGTAATCCAGAAGCTGGGTATCCTCCTCCATTGAAGAGGATAGACTCCTATACACGCACAGTATTTGTGTGCTACGCCCACGAGTCCTGACT